AGTGAGATGTGGTGAAGATTGTGGAGTGAGATGTAGTGAAGATTGTGAAGTGAGATGTAGTGAAGATTGAAGTGAGATGTAGTGAAGATTGTGAAGTTAGATGTGGTGAAGATTGTGAAGTGAGATGTAGTGAAGATTGTGAAGTGAGATGTAGTGAAGATTGTGAAGTGGGATGTAGTGAAGATTGTGAAGTGAGATGTAGTGAAGATTGTGAAGTGAGATGCAGTGAAGATTTAGAAGTGGGATGTGGTGAAGATTGTGAGATGTAGTGAAGATTGTGAAGTAGATGAGGATTGTGAAGTGAGATGTAGTGAAGATTGTGAAGTGAGATGTAGTGAAGATTGTGAAGTGAGATGTAGTGAAGATGTGAAGTGAGATGTAGTGAAGATTGTGAAGTGAGATGTAGTGAAGATTGTGTAGTGAGATGTAGTGAAGATTGTGAAGTGAGATGTAGTGAAGATTGTGAAGTGAGATGTAGTGAAGTTTGTGAAGTGGGATGTAGTGAAGATTCTGAAGTGAGATGTAGTGAAGATTGTGAAGTGGGAAAGATGTCCAAACTTGATCATTTAGAGGAAGTAAAAGTCGTAACAAGGTTTCCGTAGGTGAACCTGCTGAAGGATCATTAAGAGAGAGAAAGAGAACGGTGCGCTCTTAAAACTACTACTCTCCTGATTTGGGCGGTCTCGGGCTCTGCTCTGGCAACTCCAGCAGCGAAAGAGGACAATCCCGGCCCCCGCACCAAAAATAGGTACCACGCTGTGGGTGGACCACACTCGGGCGAGAGCGCGAAGACCGGAGGATGACGGACGGGGCTTTGGACGGCTGCCCGTCCGTTCCTTACTACCGGCGAATAAGCCTCTTGACCCAAAAAGAGTGAAATTCAAGTGTCAAAAAACAACAACAAGCCGTCCGGCCAAACCCAAACCACAAACTTGGGCTATGTCTGTCAAACCCTTTCATTGAGACTCGACCTGTGATGGTTAATCGCAAAAAGACCAAATGGCAAATACACAACTCTTAACGGGGGATCACTCGGCTCGTGGGTCGATGAAGACCGCAGCAAACTGCGTGTTGGTATGTGAATCGCAAGAATACCAGATACATCGACAAGTTGAACGCATATTGCAGCGGCGGCAGCCATATGAGCTTGTCGCCGCCATTCCTCTACGAGGGTCGGAAATATACATCCATCGGTTGCTGTGAGTTCGGTGCCTGCTGACTGTCTCCCCGACACGAGGGTAACCCGAACCGAGCTTCCGCCTTGGGGTTTAATCGCCCGCGCCTTGCGCGAGGCGTGCCCTTAAAAACAAGCCTATCACTAGCAAGTCCATGGACTTGGCGCACCCACATTCAACCACAACAAAGCCGGGCACACACACACACACATGTGTGTGTGTCCCGTCCCGACGACAGTTGTCGCCCTCGCAAATAACTGGAGGCGCTCTTTTGCCTGCTGTCCACAGAGACACGAATGGCCGTCGGCCGCTCATGGCTGATGCTGCACATGTTCTAAGAGGCACACGTCCTCCTCCTTCTCTCTCGGAGAAGAAGCACTCCATCCCACGAAGAGGAAACGAAACCGGGTCGGATATCTTTTAAGTAAGCCCCGCCGGAATTTCGTCTATCACCTCGAAAAGAGTGCTTGGCATGCATTGCAGTGGAACCTAAATTGATGAGTGCGCCTGGGCCCGCAGTCTACCATGTAGTGGCGCAGGCAGAGAGATGACAATTGCTCTCGTCGGGACGAGAATGTTTGGGTGACGCCGTGCTCTTCCTCATGCACTCCTCCACCCTCTCCCACGGTCAGACGCGGTGTGGGCGTTCTCTTTGAGAGTTCGCCACGAGTCCACGTCTATCTCATGACAGGCCTGGGAGGGAGGCAGCGGGAGTTCTCTCTAAACGCGTTAAAGGCGGTGTTGCGCCTCACAACGGCGCTCGCCGGGATAGGGCACTAGTTCTGCAGCCGGAAAGGCCGCTCCCGCCAATTAATACTGCGACTCTCGCTCTCTTTCTCTGGATAAACAAGTGCCACTGCTGTGGCATGCGGGAACGGGGAAAGAGGTCAAAGTTTAAGCGGCAAAGGTGCGGCCGAGAAAGGGCGGAACACGAGCGTATATGCATTAAAACTGTGTATATGACTCTGCGAGAGATGTTCTGCTGGAACACTTTTCCTATTGGCTATTTACCACTATTGATGTTGCTGAGAGGGCTGAGCACCTAAGCTGCTCGTTGAGAATGAGAAGGAACGGAGTCAGGGGTGGGAGTGCCGGCGCCATGGCCGCTGGTACCCCGCGACAAGCCCCTCAAACCTTCCTCTCTCTGTCAGAAGAAGAAGAAGAAGAAGAAGAATACGAAGGAACGGAGTCAGGGGTGGGAGTGCCGGCGCCATGGCCGCTGGTACCCCCGAGACAAGCCTCTCAAACCTTCCTTTATCTCTCTCTCTCTCTCTGTCTTAAGAAGCAGAAGAATAAGAAGGAACGGAGTCAGGGGTGGGAGTGCCGGCGCCATGGCCGCTGGTACCCCCGAGACAAGCCCCTCAAACCTTCCTCTCTCTCTGTCTTAAGAATAAGAAGGAACGGAGTCAGGGGTGGGAATACCGGCGCCATGGCCGCTGGTACCCTCGCGACAAGCCCCTCAAACCTTCCTCTCTCTCTCTCAGTGTTAAGAATAAGAAGGAACAGAGTCAGGGGTGGGAGTACCGGCGCCATGGCCGCTTGGTACCCCCGCGACAAGCCCTCAAACCTTCCTGTGTATGTCTTTTGCAGCAGCACGTGGTAATGTCGGTGGTGAAGAAAGTCGGTGGCAGAGCATCTTCCGCTTCGTGGTTGGGGAACATGTTCCCCCTAAGGATGATGAGACCACGATCGATCCTCGTAGTAGGAGAGAGCTACCCGCCAAATTTAAGCATATTAATAAGCGGAGGAAAAGAAACCAAGAGGGATTCCCTTAGCAAGGGCGACTGAACCGGGAAAAGCCCAGCGCATAACCTCGATGTCTTCGGGCACGAGGGGTGTTGCGTTTCAGAGGGTCCAGCACGCCGTCCCATACCGTCTAAATCAAGCTTGAAAGCGGCCACTGCCCAT